CAATTTTTATCTTTAAGTCATATATTGAACAGAAAGTAGATGAGAAAAATCATCCACCCATTTTACAGCCACATACATTGTGCTCTTTTTTCATCCTGCTTTACAGGTGGTCTTTACCCTATCTCAAGTGAAATTATTAACTCCATTATTGTGAACATATTGCAGCCTTTTGCACATGCTCCAGCAAATAGCCATTAGCATTATGATACAGAGATGATTGCATAGCATATATTTTATACCTCTCAGCCTTTATTCACTGAATGTTAAAACATATCTGTTTTATTTGTAAAATTACTGTCTCCTGTGTTTAAGATCTGTCTTATGCTTGCTTCAGAATACACCTGTGACTCCTCACACTAAACTCAGTGTACTAGTCTAACCTCTTTTGTTACAGATAAAAACATAATTCAGTTTTGGATCTAACATAAACAGGATCATTATGTTTGGAGAGTGTTCCAAAGCATGCTATTCAAGCAATCTGTGACATATAAATAATGCAAGACCTCTTCTTTCTCCAAATGACTTCAGTTCAAGCACAGACTCAGAAAGATGGAAGCCCAAATTTATACTGCCATTACAAAATTCAATCTATTTCTGGTTCTCCAATTGAATTATGACTCAGAGTCTTCCACTGTTTTCTATTAGCACCAACCCACACACTCCTACCCTTTGCCAACCAATGCAGAAAAGAACCTTATTTGTGAATATTTCTGACTTTTTTTTCTTATATTAAAATGGCAGCAAACCCCAGCTAATCTGAAAAGCCTCATGTTTTCTTTTAAAGGAAAGTAAGGTAGAAAATTGGTCTTTTTTCCTTCCTTTGACCCCTGACCTTTGAACCACAACCTCCTTGCCACTAAAGCGTTCAACACCTCATTTAATCTCTCCTCGCTGCATTGGCACAGCACTGGAAAAGGAAAAGAGAAAAAAATAATCTGGGGACTTCATCAATTTTTCATGAATTTTCATTTAGGCCAAAGCCCCTCTTACAGTGGTCGATAGATCAAGCTGCTGTCACATATTTAACACCTGGGGCTACAGCTGCTATCTCTTGGGGCTGCCGCTGACTCTGGCGAGATCAGAGGCAGCCTGACTCAATGCGAGGACCCTCATGCTCTTTCTCTTGCTTACATGTGGCGCCCCAGTGCTCACAACTGAAATCCTAGCTAGGGTTGCTATTGCAAATGTGTCTCCTGATATTCCCACTGGAAAACTCCACTGCATAGGTTCAATCATGTCAATTCAGACATTGTGGAAAAACTGCTTTTATTTTAAAACTTCTGCCTTTCAAATATGAAAGCAGTTTCATGAAAGATCAAACTATTTTAAGACAACTTCCCTTTCTAAAACCCTCCCAAGAAAATCTGAGCATATTTCTAATAATGCCAACCCTTGTTCAATTTCAACAAACACATTCGAATACACAAAATGAAAAGAACGACATTTTACTCTTTTGAATGCCATTCTTTGTAGTTGTTTTAGGACTAGAACATTTATTTTTAATGATGTAATCATAAAATATACAAATACTACATCAGAATTTGCCACATACACTGTAGAAGAATGGTTTTGCTTCTGGCATTAGCATTATTTTTAGCTTCTGAGGAAGCTCCTACTGAAAAAAAGTAATCCACACAAAGCACACCATGGATTAATGCATTAAAGGAAGAATGAAATAGAGTAAGTCATATCAATCCTAAAATATGTCTTCAAATGAAAACTCCTATTTCTTCCTAAATGTCTTCTGGATTAAAGACTTTCTAAATTAAGGCAAAAAATTCTAAGAGCACGTTCCATGTGTTAATATTGTTTTATAAGTAACTTCCCAAATCACAGCTCTTCACAGTTTCACTGGCACAGAGAAATTTTTCCGAGGACATACATCAGCACAAAAATAACTGCCCTTGATTGCATGCACATGCTCTGAATAGGCCTGGATTTAAAAGCTTAAATACTTTGGATGGGCTGGTACCTAAATTCATCATATTTGGAAAAGGTGTTAACTGCTATGTGATAGAAAAGAGCTTAGGGACTTCAGCAATTTGCAAAAACTACTCCAGAAAGCCAAGGGATAAAATGATTGCATTCAAGAAGGGCCACACTATGCTCAGAATCATTGTATGCCCCAACTGAACCTCACTTATGAGTTTTTCTTCTGTCTTCACATATAAATATCGATATATGACAAGATTTTCAATCCCACTGCTTTTGTGGCAGCTGCCCAAGGCGAGGTGGGGGGGGAGGAGGGGGAAGGTAAACGGGAATGAACCACAGTTAACACTGTTGATCATCTGAATGCATAAGTCTGAGCACACTTAACAAATACATAAAACAAATATTTCTTCATAAATCATTCAAAAGTTGCAAGTGCACATTATTGGAGACTGACAATTTAATAAGCAAAGTAAAACAGTTACTGATTTTTTCACTAAAACAGCACCCTCAAGCATTTTAAACCTGTAAAAAGTAGCAGTTTGTCTCTAATGGCACCATTTGAAGCCACCTACAGTCAGATAATAATCCACACCCCTGATGTCAGCAAAGGACAACCGTCCTTTTTCTGGTGATGAAAACAGCTTGGCTTAGTGTGGAAAGAGCAGCTTTCAGCACTGTTACAGATAGCACAAGTAAGACCCAATCTCATGCAGCTGTCCCAGCTCCGATGGACAGGGCTGCAGTATCCAGGCAACTCAATAGTTTTCAGCAGCAGTTGAGCAGGTGAATGAGGACTCACTGTTGACAACAGGCTATCAGCAACAACTCATTTCCCTGGCGTGCAAATGGGCAGCTACAGACCTGCCCGTCTTCTTCAGTCCAGAAACACTGACATTAGAAAAGTAGCCTTAATGTAACTGTGCTCTGAAAGTCACTTGAAAACTTGATTTAGAACCAAAAATCATATTAAGAAGTGTCTCAAAACCAAGGGAAACCAGGTAGTTTTTCTATCATCCTCCAAAGGATGCCTTTGATACACATCAAGCGCTGCCATATGCTTATAAAACCAGCAGAATCTTGAAAATTAGGTAAACAAGCAATGTACGTATTATCTACGTACTTTAAAATACCTCTGAGAACAAAACACAGTTTTACTATTTTTAAAATCTTCTACTATCTCCAACAAGTGACAGAACGAGAGGTAATGATCTTAAACTGAGGATAAACTTAGATCAGATATTAGGAAGAAATTCTTTACTCTGCCTGTGGTGAGACACTGGAACAGGTTGCCCAGAAAAAGTTGTGGAAGAGTTGTGGATGCCCCATCCCTGGAAGTGTTCATCCCTGGATGAGGCTTTAAGCAACCTGGTGTAGTGGAAAGTGTTCCTTTCCACTAGGGGGGTCTTTAAGGTCCCTTCCAACACAAAACATTCTATGATTCTATGATCTCACATACAGTTCATGCATGACCTGCCACCAGCTACAGTGGTTAAAACAGTAACTCCAGAGACTAAAGATACAGTAACAAGTCTCTCAGCAGTCAATGAAGTAAGGATCAGTGAAAAATGGCAAAATATAGAAAATAATCAGTCACTTTACTTTGATGACTCAAGGTATAACTTGAACAATCTTCTGACCTTTGACAGGAGATGTCTGAATCTCAACAGGACTGCCATAAAGATTTCAAAGTGTTTAGCCTCTCTCATAGGAGACAGTTTACAGTACTCTGTAAACAGACAGTTTAAAAACTACAGGTACAAAGAAATAATCTGGTAAATTTATCTAGAGTCATACTTACCCAGATTTCTGCCTTCCTTAAATTGGTCATATTCTTGATTCCTAAATACCTAACCAAACTGAATAAAATTCTGTGATGTCTTTATTGGCAGATACACATTTACTTATACCTTCAATTTGCACTGAAAGTCTTTTCATTTTCTGTTTGAAACAATTCTGAATCTAGGTTATGACAAGTGGAAAGTCATCAACAAGTCTGTTCTACTTGACTTACAGCATGATCTAAATATCTCAAAAATGGCATTTTCTGCAATTTCTGAGAAGACTGAAGTCTTGAGATCACTGAATCAGGAGTAAAGGGTTCTGTGCTTTTTTTCTTTTTGTTTTTTTTTCCTCCTTCAAACCAACTTACCTTCCAACGTGTACTCAAATCCACTCTTTATCAACTAAGCATAGTTTGTGCTAAAGTCCTAGTTCAGTGAAACATATTTCAGTGAAACTACTGGCAGATGAAGAACTACAATACACCTCTATAGGAAGATACACAGCTACCCATGGTTGATATTCTGAATAAAAAGGTTAGTGTTTATTCAGCTCCTATAACTAAGCAGTAAAAAAATAACATGCAACACATGGTAGTTTATATAAGATGACCTTATGTGATGTGTGAATATAATGTATGTCTCAACTAACTCTAGTGGAAGCAGATCATGCATGCTGAGTGGTCTCTGAAAGAGCTGTGACAACTTCTCAGTTAAGACACAGAGAATTGATAAGGAATAAGACTGCCCTGGATGATATGAGAAATAGCCAACAATTTCACTTGCCATTCACATAATGAATGAGGCCTGTATCAAGTTTATGATGGAGAAGTATATATTAAGGTTTCCAGCAGTACAGAACATGAGTCACCAAGAAGCTGTCTGCTTCTGTTGAGGTAACAGATGACTAGATAAAGAGAAACAGACAGTACACCTTGCATTAAATGAAAGGTATTTGTCCACATTAGTTTCAGTATAACCAACTTTAGTCATAATTTAAAAATTAGATTAATCTTCAGAGGATGATTAGCCTTTGTCCACATTTGTGCCAATCATGATTATACTGGCTAGAGCCTTGCTTCAGTGTAAATCACATATTCTGTATGGTCACTGCTACTGTATAAATGTATGTAAAAATGCATTGACTAAGAGCTATAGCTAATGACAAAATGCTATACTTATCTACCTTTGTTATCTCCCAGACTGCTGACTGTGTGCAAGTGCTAGATGACAGCATGAAATGAACTATAGAGTTTTACACAGTGGTAATCATACAAAACTACTCACATGCCACTTCCAGAGATGCGTTGCGGCTCACAGCTTCTCCAAGATAGTTCCTTGCCACACAAACATAACTTCCTTCATCCGGTTTACTCCTCCGTCCATGCACGATACGTAAGAAAAATAAAGATCCGCTGGGAAGCAGCATGCGGTGGGAGCGCGGATCATCCTTGTCCGTTTCTACTCGCTCTCCATCCTTGTACCACTCAATAGTAGGAGATGGCCTTCCTTCAGCTTTGCAGTTCAGAGTTGTTGGCTCTCCTTTAGAGACTATCACATCCGAAGGATGTTCAACAATCCGTGGTGGAAAGTCCTCCTGACGGAGACGGGATCCTAGAGAAAAAGAAAAGGAGAGAAGGGGGAAAGAACAATTTATTTTAATGTTAGGCTTCACAAAGAGTTCTCACAAGTCACTCTTTTAATGCCACAACAGTTTTCAGAAAAAAAAGAAAATTAAAACCTGTATACATCTGATATTATTTTGCTGATATCAGACACTGTGTCAGACACTTTCAAAGCTAAAAACCTGAGTTGGACTACAGATATACACCTCTAAGGCACTATCAAATCCATACCCCATGCAGACTGGTCTTAAAGGAGGATCTCTTACACATACATGCACAATGGTTTTTTCCTTGTTCCAATAATCTTTCTATTTACATTTGCTTCTAGGTCCCTGTGTACTTCTGGATTCCACTCATCACTGTTTCTCCCCCATCCTTTCATCTGCCAGACTCAATAGGTGGACATTGAAAAACACTGTGTTTTACCACCCATTTGTTAACAGTTCTTTGTAGTTTTATATTTATGCTTTGTATCCTTTTTCCACAAGCAGCCCAGGTATGGAAAGAGAAGAAAAAAAATGCCAAAACAAACAAACAAAAACGCTCAACTGAAACCTCAAAAGTATTTCTTCCTTCATAAATATCTAGTACAACAGTTGGCAACTTTAACTGTTCAAAGCATCTGAAATAATTCATGAGCTTTATTTTTATTTGTAAATCTCAAATATCAATGGCACTTTAGAAATTTTCAGTGGATTGCATGCATATATGCACGCACACAAATACAATACATGTGCCTGAAAGTGCATTGCAAAAACCAGTGTCTCGGAAATCATTATAGGTCCATTTCCCTTTTTCTTCTCTTGGCATACATTTTTTTTTCTTCACTTTGCTTTTTGGTGTCTATCATCTTTTATCTGCACATGTACTTTCTAACCTATTTGCAGTATCCCTAAATTCCTACCGATACCGCATCACAACCCTGGTTACCTGGTTATTGAGTTAAACGTTTATCTCCAGCATTTCTACGCAGTGTATCTTACCAGGAATCTGGAACCCTGGATTATCCCTGAATGTGCTCCAGCAGCTCAGTCTGAGCACAGAATTCCTTGGAATGAATGTGGGTTTTTTTTCAGTACTAAAGGTTAAGTAAATAATTATTTCCTTCTGTCACTGGAAAATAATACAACCCAAAGCACTTCCTTCTTTCAATTGCCCACCAGAATACAATTTTTCTCCTTACAATACTGATATTGGACATGCCATCGTTAAACCTTCAAACATCAGGACTACTAGGTATTCATGACACATTTCTACCATACTATTTCTACTCTATACACTAGCAACTTTGTGCATTGCCCCTGCACTTTTCTGTGCAGTCACTTTGACACACAGTTGTTCAGCCTTTCAGTACTTCCTTTACACTCAGTTGCCTTCCCACTGCCTGGGGCAGGGAAGCATCAGAGCCTGAACATCATCCTGCACCTTTTTTAACAAATCCTTACCCTGTCACTAAGTCCTGGAATAAGGAAGAGAGGTGCTGGGTGGGGAAAAATCCTATAGAAACAAGGTATGTGGAAGAGCTTTGTGCTGGGTCCATCACCCTGGAGAAAGTCCCAGTGTCAACCTTTTATTACAGCCTTTACAGTGTAGTGCAATTTCACTAAGACAAGTCACAGGGTCCCAAACCTCTGCTGAACTCTTGTAAAAAAAATTCAATGGTATCACAACACTAGCCAAGTTTTGCAATTATCTTTTTCAGAAAAAGATAATTCTTTCAAAGTTTTTACGCTCCTCATTGCAGCTATTAACAAACAAACTGCAGAGATAAATAAACGCAACAACAGGGTCACCCAACAGAAAACCAAAGTCCAGCACTCCTAACTTGAGGATCAATCTTCCTGATGCAGTTCATTACTGCATATTTAACTAGGCTATATTAGCCTAACAAACTGTTTTTCTGCAACAAACACATTACAATACTTAGTGTCTCAACGTGTTTCTCATAAAAATGAAGTCAGCTCTCCCTAACTGTTAGCACAAATCACTTTTTCCTGCATGGATCCTGATAATCCTTTGAGTGGAGCTGCCATGCTAGTACAATTGAACTGCATTTCTTAAATAGAAGGTGTATCAACTTCTGCAGGTTAGAGAAACATTTGTCTCCATTTTCTGATCAACAGTTTTGCTGAGTCATAGAAAAACAATTTAACATTAATATCTTAATTATATTCTAGGCACTACATATTTAAAAATATTGTCAATGCATCATTTACTCCAAAATTTATGAGGAAAGGAGTAAAGATCTATTCTACAGAGTGAATCCACCTTTGGACTTCTGTTTTACCAACACTCAAGTCATTAAACTAAGGCTTGCCATAGCAATAAAGTGTTATACCACTGCTGCACAAATGGACTCTTTCAGTGTCTACAGGATTCTATAACCAGAATAGCAAAAGTATCCATAATCTGTACTGCCGGTACACCAAAAACCACAAACAATTTATACCTAAGCACAGGTAAACTTTGAGCACATTTAGAAAAGACAGACGTATTTTATCAACAAAAACACATTTAAAATCTAACAGGAGAATTTGCAGTGAAAAAAGGAACTCTAGACCATGATCCCATACACAACATTGAAAAAGACTGAAATCACTATTAAAGTAAAAGATTAAAACTTTCACAGTACATGGGACTGAAAAAGCAAACTTCATACATTGACTAGAGACATATGTCACATTCTCCGCAGAAGTCTACCAACTTACTTCATTCCTTATTCTGAAAAGAAACAAACAAAACCCCACTAGTTGTGTTAAGAAATTCCTACTAACAGCATCGATGGGAACACCAAAGCCAAGGTGTTTGAGACTTTAGAGACTTAAGACAGAAAAGAGAACAGATACAACTAAATTTTCATAAATGGTTATCAGTGTAACAAAATTAGTAGCAAAAAGTGCAAAATGAAAATCCAAATTATTAGTTTTCTTATATACAAGTTTGTTGATAATGTTCAAAGCTTGAAATAAAACATTCTACAGAGAATTACAGCCCATGTGAAAACCTCTGAAAAGGGCACATAAAGAGTTCTCGAATAAAGAGTTAAACCTTCCAACTTTCACAGCCCAATTCAAAAGCCCTTCTCAGGTCACAACAGGACTAATTCTTCCTCTTCAGTACTGATGTTTATCACAAAACTAATGTTTACCTCACTCTATCCTAATTAAGCAATTTGTGCACATGAGAGGGTTGAGATGTGGGCAGCAGAGACCATGCCAATCAGCAGGGAGAAAGGGTTAGGAGGTGTTCTGAGGGGGCTCATACCACACATTCCTGTAATGGCAGGGTGTACCTTCAGCTATCTAGTGCTGCAAGTTGTTTCCTTCAACGTGCACTTAAGAGGGGGGAAGAAAAACACACACAAGAAGTCAATCACAGAGCACAGCAGACTCCCTCCTTCAAAACTAAACTTAGTGCCAACAGCTATTCCAGAAGGATACTCTGATTTAGAAAGAACAAAGAAAAGCAAAAACTTGACTCCATTGCTTCTCTTCTTGCACTGTCTGTGTGCCAGAAAGTGACAGCCTCAAATGGTGTTTTCCTAGTTGAGTTTTGATTCTTCCACTGTGGCTCACTGTCACCCCATCTCCCAATACTTTTACAGATATAATCTAAATTAGAAGGAGCACAAAAAGTTTAACCCCCCACGCTAACTGGGCTGAAGATGATATTTTTCCTTTTACTGGAGGATGAGATGGAACCATGACCTACTCAATGCAAGTGGTTGCACCGAAGCAGCCAGCTGGTTTTCTACCCATGCAGCTTCCTTCTCCATTAGTCCCTCAAGAATTGCCAATACAGGACTATCTCATGCATGCATAGTGAATGCAAATAACCCCTGAATTTAAGAGTCCTCAAGTAGTCATTAGGATGATGGACTGCAATGACTTCAAATTAGCTGTTACGTGGTGTTGGGCAAAAAATTTTCGAAAAAATCCTACAATATGATGACTAACTGAAAGCTGCCATGAAGCTCCACCTATGAAAATGAGAACATTAACACTTACTCAGAGTACTCTAATACTTACTGTATGTTAAGGTTCACATAGCTATTGCAGATGACTGATTATTACATATCTCAAGAAGATTAGTTTCACATATGCCTCATCAACCAATTCACAGAGAAAGTTTTAGACTCATCTTTTTACTCCAAAGAATTACTAAAAACCATTGTTCTAAAACAAAACCTGCAAAACGTACATGAAAAAAGATAATGTGCAAGTCTATTATACTATCATACCTTTAATATTTCCTTGTTCATACTGCAGCATTAAACAAAGAGTTACTAAGATTACTCCAACAACAGTCCGGATGTAAGCCATTTCTGCTCAACTTATGTCTCTATACTTTTATCCTGGTCTGTCTTTAAAATCTGGTCTTATATTTTACAAATATTTCTGCCACAAACTGAGCATTTCAGAATTACAATTAATTACTGAACATAATTAATCAGTAAATAGGATTATCTCATAAAAAAGAAAAAAAAAGCAGTGCTTCTTTTGTACTTCTAGCATCTGCCACAACATGAGATGGTCCTACATTAATACTAAAAAAAAAAACAAGGCAAGAAAGCAACAGGTGAAATTCTAAAAGAGTTAGATATAATGACATTCTGTCTTGATCCTATCAGGCAAATCACAACAAGCACAGAAAATAAGTACAGCACTCAGCCTAACATCAGTGTCACCTGGAACACTGCTAATCACATGCTCCAGAAACGTGTGATTGTTAGTTTTGTGTGAGAAAGGCAAGTTCTCTTTTGTGTTCTCTTAGATGAGAATGTAAGCCAGAAAAAGATGGATGAGGATGATTTTCAGTATGTGTTCAAGGTACAACAATCTTACAGTCTTTGGCTTTCAACATTAGTTCATTATAATAGCCGGGAGAAGAGAGGTGGGGATGTGTGAAAATAAATAAATAAAAATCTTTTTGCCTTAATGCTGTTGAAGTTCCTGATAAAGTTCTGCTAAGATCATGCTATAGCCAAAA